TCGGAAGCGGCACCAAAGGGAATATTGTTCTTGTCGACAACCTCGACCAGAGAGTGGGCGTATGTGAGGTTAGGATCAGGGTGACCACCGTTGAAGTCGGGGCTGGGGACACAGTTCTGGATGGCGTTGCTCAAACCAAGCTCCTCTTCGAAGATAGCCTTTCCATAAGGACCGGTAACACCGTGGAGGCCATCAAATAGAACTTTGAAGTCGGGGTGCGTAGAAAAGAATTTCTTAATCAGGTCAAAGTCGAAGATGTCCTTGAGCATAGCAACGTAGTCGGTGGTGCTGTCGATAATCTCGACCTCAAGGTCACCATATGTCTGAGTACCAACGGTGGAGATGTCGACATCTGGAATATCAGCAATCTTGTATGAAGTCAGAGTCTTGGAGAACTCGAAGATCTTGTTGGTAACGGATTCGGGAGCGGGGCCACCGTTGGCGAGGTTGTACTTGATACCAAAGTCGTTCTTGGGACCTGTTGGTTGTTAGCTGTCGGTTTGGGAGACTAGAATGAGCAGTGAACTCACCACCAGGGTTGTGGCTAGCAGTCAGGAGGATACCTCCGGTAGCCTTGCGCAGACGGATGACATGACTGGCAGCAGGGGTGGAAAGAATGCCGTTCTGGCCGATGACGAGCTTCTTGACGCCGTAGGCGGCACCAATCTTGGCAATAAGCTGGATAACCTCGGGGTTCCAGTATCGGCCGTCGCCACCGATAACAAGAAAAGAGCCTATCAATTGATCAGATCATGGCTCGTGCTGCAGAGCAGTTGGCTTCATACCCTCAACCCCCTCGGGGATAGAAAGCAGGATGCTGGTGATGAAGGCCTCGCTGTAGTGAGGCTGCTGAAAGACGGTGACCTTTTTGCGAAGACCGGAGCTATCGACACGAGTCAGTTGAGGTTCTATCAAATGATAAAACTGAGGCTCTGGGGCTGAAGTCAAAGAGAAATAAGCAATTCCTCTTCGGCAGCTCCCGGGCAGTGGGGGAACACAACAGGGAGGATCGTCAAGGTCTAGACATACGTTCCGGGCTTCTGGTCCTGGAAGGGCTTAAACTCAACGGTTTGGACGCCCATGATTGCTTGATATCAGTGGTGTATCAATGGACCAAGCTGTAGAGAAGAAAAGATAGATAAGAAGCTATAATTTTGAGGAGAATTGTTGAGGAGGATACAAAGAGGAGAAGGAACCAGAAGACAGCGGTAACTTAGGTAGGCGACTGAGACAAAAAGAGGGGAGCTTGAGGGAGCTCTGTGGTGGGGTTCGATGAGATGATATCACTCAAGCTAATGGAGGGGTCAACCAATTAGCACTGTACGTGCTGGGCACAGCTAGGTGCAGGAACACAGTCTGTTACCGTGCGCTTTGTTTCGTTGGGAGACAACATACTCACGCAAATATGAGATCGGTCCCTATATGATGGACACTCGGAGAACAAAATATGGCTATGGCTTGAAGAGGAGAACAATAGTAAAACCCTAGAATAAGTAATTGGTGCCTCATTAGGTACTCGAATGTGAGACACATAAAATAAATAAAAATTAAAAAAGAAAGAAAGAGTATTTGATCTGTCAGTTATGAACTCAAGTATTGCTCTGATCATGTCATGGAAGTATACATGGCTGAAGAGTTCAATCATGACACCTCGAAAAGTCACATCGGCATGAGGAGCATTGGCCAGTCGATAACCCACCTTTCCCAATGAAACGCTACCTACCTATGATTAGGCCATTATTTTCCTTTGTTAGGTTTGTTCTTGGCAGGCACAACATCAAACGTCGGCCTGAAGATAACCTCCCTATAGTATCTAGCCTCCTCAATGCTCTCCAGAATGTCATCCCTCGCCTTGTGCAGACCCTTCTTATTGGGAACCTTATTCACAATCCTCTTGGCTGCCCAGCGTCTTGCAGCCTCTTTGATGGAACTCACGTCAAGAATTCTGTGATGCAGATGTCTCATGACCCGCTTGTAGGGTTCACGTCGCAGAAACGCCCTATCGCAATGCACGCTGTTACCCGCAAGAAGACCACGTTTGCGCTCAGGGATGAAGCGTGTTATGTACTCATACAGAGCGTCTGCGGCTTGCTCCGGAGTGGTTGTGGATTCGAGAACAGCAGCGGTGAGGCCAGAGTCTGCGTGTGTCTTTGTGCACCATTCGTCCATCTGGTCAAGACGGGACTGAGGGAAATGGATGATGGCGTGGAAGCCCTCCTCATCGAGAATCTCGAGGTTTCCTGTGGTGATTATACAGTAGATCTCGATGATTTCGTCGTTGTCTTGATCCAAGCCAGTCATCTGTTGACGATGTGAGCTGAAGCCCCTTGTACCACACAGCCGTACATACCTCGCAGTCAATCCATACAAGAGGATCATCGCTGGCGCTCTTAGGCTGGTTATCAGCCTGTACTTCTGCTACTGTCGACATTGTTGTGAGTTTTGGTGGTTGCAATGTAACGTTGATGTTTGAAACTGGCTTTTCTCATAAGAGATCAGTACTCGAGTAGTGGGGTGTGATCCATTCAGAACCCGTTAAAACTTACAGTTAGGTAAGTCTAGTAGTTAGTGCATTCCTACAGTTAATCAATGCACTGGAACGTTGCGTGTATTAATGAGTTCTACCTCATTGGCCGCCATGGTCAACTTCAACCACACGATATACGAAAACAATTCCATAAATACACAACCTTCAGCCTCAACTGAAAATAGGTACGTATTGCAGCATCATACCTAGGTAGGTACCTTACTTTTATTTGCGATTATTCAGCAGAGATTCTCTGTACGGCAATAGCTCCCCAATTGTGCTGCCTGCGAGGCATCTGCGAATTATCTCGGAAGTCTGGCTTCTTCATTTAATCCCCCTCTCAAGGCAGATACTTAACTTACCAGCCTTGAACACATATAAACAAATATTTTCGTATTTACACATTTCCACCACTTGATTTCGGATTCTTTATTGCTTAAAATGTCTCAACTGAAGAACGTCTTAACAAAGCTTACCAAAGCTCAAGATGGAGATGCCGAACCACAGCCAGAGACTCTTGTCTCCAAACCCCCTCCCAAGCCTGAGATGTCAGTGACACCACCACGCTTCCTCATCATCGGCGCTGGATCACGAGGGCAGAACTACGCCGCAGCAATCGACAGCGTATCCAATGGTGTTGTCGCCGCTGTTGCTGAACCCTTGAAGTTCAAGCGCGAGTCCCTCGGCCGAGCTCACATCTGGGGTGACGGTTCCCCTGGAGAAGGCCAGTCTTTCCACGACTGGCGAGAATTCTTTGCATATGAGCATGATCGTCGAAGTCGAGCTGCTTCGGGTGAAGAGAATGTACCGGAAGGTGTTGATGGAGTCTTTGTTTGCGTGCTCGACGAGATGCACCGTGAGGTTGTCGTCGGTCTTGCACCACTTGGGCTTCACATTATGTGTGAGAAACCTCTTGCATGTTCCCTTCAAGATTGTATCGACATGTACAAGGCCATGCGTCCCTCCCAATCTACCAAGATCTTCTCAATCGGCCATGTGCTGCGATACAGCCCACACAACATCATGCTTCGCAAGCTTCTCATTGAGGAGCGAGTCATCGGCGAAATTTCAAGCGCTGTACACACAGAGCCCGTAGGTCAGTTAAGATGGCACGCAAAGTCATAGATCCATTCGAAAATGCAAGCTGATGCTTGATATGTAACTGACTAAAATATGAATAGGTTGGTGGCACTTCACGCATTCATATGTCAGGGGGAACTGGCGCAACGAGAATACCACTGCGCCATCCTTGTTGACTAAGAGCTGCCACGATATCGATCTGTTGCTCTGGCTGCTCTGCTCTCCTGAGAAACCAGGGCAGGGAGAGCCACACCTCCCGGAAACGGTCTCATCTGTCGGGAACCTTCATCTCTTCAAGAAAAGCCGTAAGCCCAAGGCTGCAGGATCGGCAACAAACTGCATGAAATGCCCCCTCGGAGACAAAGGTTGCAAATTCTCTGCAAAGAACATTTACCTGGGCCCCAAACTCAAGGGCTTGCAGGCCGGCAACACAAGATGGCCAGTCAGTATCGTCGTCCATGACATTGAAGACTACCCCTCCCACCAGAAGAAGGAAGAGATGTTGATCAAGGCTCTGGAGGAAGACTACAACGACTCTACACCAAAGTCGGGAATCCAAGCCCGTAATTGGTTCGGCCGTTGTGTCTTTGAAGCCGACAACAATGTCTGCGACGATCAGTTCGTCACCATTACCTGGCCCGAGTCCACCAAGCCTTCAAAGACAGCTACTCTGCATATGGTCGCTCAGACAACAAAGATCTGCGAACGTTACTCCAACTTTTACGGCGAACACGGCGAGGTTCACGCCAATTCACGTCGCATCGTTGTTGAGAACTTCAACACAGGCGAAGTGAAGACATATCATCCTCGTGTAGAAGATCTTGGCCATGGTGGTGGAGACTTGGGTCTGACACGCCAGTTTGTCATGGCATGCGATCGCGTCAAGAACCATGGCTGGGAGGCTCCTCGTGCTCAAGACGAGTTTATTGGATGCACTCTTGATGAGGTGCTGCGAAGCCATGCTATGGTCTTTGCAGCTGAGGAGGCGAGACTTGGTCGTAAGGTACTTGACTGGGAAGAATGGTGGAACAAGGCTGTTGGAAAGCAGATGGAAACTTAACAGGCATGCGTAATATGCCAGCTTAGCAGTGGATTTCTGAAGCAAGGGCGACAATGGTCAGGATGGTTTCATTATTAGCATATTCAATCTATGGGGATATTGATCAAGCAAGTTTGACTTGAGCATCATCATGTTTTTAAATTTGTCAACTAATAAACCATTAGGTTTGTTCTGAGAACAGAAATATACCAACTCATGCAATCAAATATTCATGCAAATCCCTTCAAGTGTGAAACCTCACATGTCTTTACAAAGAGAACCTGCTATCTTTATAAATTCTCCGCCGTCCAGAATAAAACTCCCATTACTCCCATGAAACCATTAACGACACATCTAGCTCAGCTCAGCTCTGTTGCCCTCATTTCCCAAAGGTTGGACAGCAGGTAGTTCCTGAGCATGCTGTTGAGGGGCGCCCTCGGGGCCGTCCTTGTTGGGACCCGGGCTGGGCGTGAAGTGAGGAGGGGGTGATGTGGATGGAGCTCCGTAGCCGCCGACGCCATACTGAGAAGGATACTGCGTTTGCTGAGGGTACTGGCCCTGGAAGTTCTGGGGTTGAGGAGAGTAGCCGCTGTATCCAGGCTGTTGGTATCCTTGGGGTTGACCGTAGGGAGCCGCAAATGAGGGGTCGTATGCCTGCTGGTAGCCACTCTGGTAGTTTGAGGGGACTCCAGAGGGGTAGGCGGCGTTGGAAGGCGATGAGGGGACGAAGCTAGGCCCTGGGCTCTGAGGTCCTTGGGCCATGGGAGGTTGGTTTTGTGTACCATCGCCGGGTGTAGCAGCAGCAGCAGCAGCAGCAGGAGTTGTCTTGCTGCGGCGGCGGAAGAGAAGGAAACCAGCGAGGCCAACGAGAGCGAGAGCAGCGACACCACCGACAACACCACCAGCAATGGCACCAACGTTGGTACTGCTACCGCCACCACCGTTATCAGCGCTGGTCGAGGTTGCTGCAGCGCTGGTCGTCGTGGATGATCCGTCATCAGTGGTTGAAGAGGGGTTCTCAGTGATGGATGAATCGTCGCCGGTTGTTGTCGAACTGAAAGCCAAAGGATCGGAAAATAGAAGCGGGGAGCTACCAGAAGTGGTGTCACACACAAACAAGGTGTAATCATCGCCGTTTGTTTTGCCGGCCAGAGTCAAGCAACTAGGAGCATTCCTATCACTAATATACAGTCAGTATGAAGAAACATGTCTCGGGGGTCATGAAACCACTGACCAGCAGACGGTATGGGCATCCGTCAAAGACTTGCAAGATTCGACAGAGAGAGTATAAGGAATGCAAGCTGTTTTGACGGAGTTGCAAGTCCTCCCAGTTTCACAACAGCCTACAAACCCATCGGAATAACTGCAAGTGGCCGACAGACTGTTGATACACGTGAAAGAGCCTATTGATGACAAGTTAGTCGCGCAGTTTCAAAGCGCTCGCTAGTTTCCTCCGTTTCTCTGAACATATCTACGTTGTCCTCCAGTGACTGCTTTGGGTATATGTTGACTCACTTCCTATTACGTTGAACGCACATGTGTCGGCTCCTAGAGATCGTTTGCCAAGGGCAAAATTCAGATCCATAGCGCCGGCAAGCTTAGGCGCATCGGTTGGTACAGGTGACCATCCCATGGCGATTTGGTGTTGTTCTCCTGCTTCTGGGCCATAAGCGCCTGTCTGTCGGGGAGGTTCCCAAGATGATTCTTGATGTGACTTGAGCCAGGCGGCGGCGGCGGGAGAGCTCAAGGCGCCCAGAGCGAAGAGGGCGGTAGAGCGACGCATCTTGTTTCGGTGATATATGGTGATCGGGTGATGCCAAGTACAGAGTGCCTCCAGGGGGTGAGGCGATTCCTAACAGATAATTGTTTGTACTTCTACTTCCTCAGGGGCGTATCAGGACTCTGTTCGGAAAAGGTGTATCTTGTGTGGTGCAACTGAGTTGATGCCTGGCGATACAAAACAAATCGACCGTGTTCGAGCAACAACAACTCGCAGCACAGCGACGATATGTATTTGACAAGGAGAAAAAGTGCAGCGAGGCAGGGGTCAATGGGGATTTTGTTTAGTTATCATCCGCATGTACATACATACTATTTGGGGCCGAAGGGTGCAATCCAGCCCCGACCATCGACACGCCGTTTGTGCGGTGCATACATTGGGGGCCCCGTCCAAGTACTTACACGCTTATGGTGTCAGGGTACCTACGACAGGGGTGAGCCTTGATGGCACAAGACGAGATCAATGGCCACAGCCCCCAGGAACTTTTCAGTCTTTTCTGAGTGCACCAAAATCACAGCCCCTGCTCACTCTGGTGTGATCCCTGCGCCTAGTGGCGTTTGCTGGTAGGCGATCATTGGTGCGAGGGATCTTTAGTGCATCGAGCTGAACCGACCCCTGTTCGAATTCAAAAACCTGGTGGATAGTGACGTTGAGGGTTGCGACTACAAGGGTGTGAGCTTCTGTTCAGCCTTTTGAAACTCAGCCCTGGGCAATTTTCAGGAGGCTCAGTCTCTCGACAGATGAGGCTTATGTAACCCCGACGTCGGCCAGAGTCGAGCATCACCTCTATAGTAGGTAGGTAGGAAGCCACTGACTAGCACGTGGAAATTCAATTGATGAAGACATACGGAGTAGGTTGTGAGACCGCTGAGTTCGTTACCTAATCCTGTGTTTCTCGTGAGCTCATAAGAGGTTCCGTTCCCAGCCTCAACAGCTGCATCCACAGCCCTCACATACACCCCAAGCACAGTCGGCTTCACCAGCAAAGGCCTTCTTGCAGTCACTATCATAGTGACAAGAGACCCAGTTTCCATCACCCCATCCCCAATTCCATTTGGCCCAACACCACGTGCCACTTTGTCTAACCGAGTTGTCGGTTTTGACTTCGCACTTCTTCCAACACCATCCTTTATCGCAGCCGTATGCCTTCTTGCCGTTGTAGCAAGCTCTCTTTTCAAAGATGTTCTCGTTCCGAGTGGTTAGATCAGATGCTGCCTCTTGGCTCGATGGCATCGAGTGGACGCCAATGGCACAGTAAGCCACGAGGCTGGCGAATGTGGTACTGATTTTCATATTGAAGAGACTTGCTTGGTGGTTGACAGTAGCAGGGTATGAGATGAGATGAGATGAGATGGTAGAGGATGTGTTGAGGATGATAGATGTCTTCCACCCGAGGATCATCTCTCCTTTATACTTGTTCTTACCTCTTGACTTACACGCAGGCTGGTTCTCGTGCAGGGATAAATACGGTTATTTCTAAACAGGAGTCTCGTGAACATTGAAGAAGGACCAACAGCATGATGCTTCTACGAAAGAGGATAGCTGAAGAGAGAAACACAGACGTTCTACCAGGTTGTTGAAGATAGAGCCAACAACATCATGCGACTGAATACTCGAAGAGGTTAAGTCAGTGAACTTCTGCCTGTTTACGAGGCAGACCCAGATGTGATAACAGAACCAACAGCATTATACTACTACGAAAAGAGGTGGTTATGGATCGTTCTGCTGGGGTGCTGAAGACAGAGACGACACACGAGCGAATCTGAGCCTGGATATGGAGTAGGCGTATGGAGTAGAAAGCGAATACTCGTCGTACAGCACCTCGATATTGAAGACAGAACCAACAGCATTACCGGGTTGTTGAAGGCACGACTAGCACATTGGTGGATCCAATACTAGTCAGAGACGAAAGACTCACCGTATACGTTAAGCGATCAAGTTTGGTGAGAGTCCCGTACATAATGCTGTAAGATATTTGGTCCATCTGTTTCTATAATAATTATAAGACGAAAGCCTATATTAAGACATGTGTAGATTATGTTTCAAGTCCCTAGTGTCAAGTCACGTATTTATGTCTGTCAGTCTGTCGTGAAGTCTTTAGCAGCGTGAGGTAAAGTGGTTTGACGCCCAGCTTGGCGCTAGATCGGTCTCGATTCACTTCTGTAAGTCACGCTCAGTCACAATTGGACTATTTCGATCAGGGCTGATGTATGCAGAGAGATCCTGACGAGTTGACCACATGGAGCAGATCTAGGAGCAATACTCCGTATACTTCAAGTCAAAGCCAAATTCTCCGAGTTCCGAAGTTCAGGCCGGAGGTGAATGCATTCAGTAAGAAGCTTTCAATACATTAATCCTATGTAGGATGGTTGGGTGAGGATGGGTGAGGATGAGTGAGGTTTAGGGTCTACAACAGTTTCTATATACATACAATGAAAGTTGTACGTACTATCTTCTGACCGTCACCTCGTCTAAATTTCTCTATCCAGTATGCCCTCGGGTTGTGTTGTGTTGTGCTGCGTTGCGTTGCGTTGCGTTGTTCGGGTTGGCTTCGCCTCAAGCATGTGGCCGCTGTGTTCTCGGGCTCGCCTCACAGCTGCATAAGGGCATCTCAACACAGAATAGACAAGATAGACTATTGCATGCACATGCAGGAGACTGGGCGACTATAGCCGGAGGTCCGTCCGCTCTGGGCCATGGTTAACCAACGTATATATCCATACATCGACTCGATTGTGATCGGCTCTATCCAGATCCAGACCAAGCAGTTTGTGTTTCAAAGTGCAAGCCACCTCCGCAACCCCAGTCATGAATGACTTCGTGCCGATGATGCGATTCCCCTGTAATAATCAAAGATAGAGACAACCAGACCAAACGACTAGCATCGAATTTTCCCCATATGAGATTGATAGTTGAGAAAAGTACCTGCGTTGTACGACAGAGGTACCTTGAGAACCTTACTAGCAGCAACAGGGCAACGGCTTACAGCGCACTAATAAGTACTCACCTATCAAGCGTTCGCCTCTTGGCATTCATTGGCTGGTCGAAATAGACGTGGTCTCCCGTGATTTCCGTTTGTTTCCCTGGCTTTTGACGCAAATTGCCGAAATGGGTATGCGAGTATACGCGCCTTGCTCGTGAGTGGTCCTCGCACAGGTGGCCCAGAATAGGTAGCATGTCGCTCCCCGATACTGCACAGCACCAAGGGCATTGAGTTAAGCTTGATAGATGGAGCCAGAGGTTGGAGGTTGGCTATACTGAGCTTAATCATAGCATGTGACCCAGACACTTTAGGTACTGTCTTCTCTGTGCTTCTATCTCAACAGACAGTGTCCGTCCACCCGAGACGTTCCCCGAGGTGGCATTCAATTCACCGCCAAGAGAGTGGTTGAAGCGCCCCGTGCCGAACATTCTGAGACCCTACTGGTTACATGGGTTGACCATGGATAATCAGCCTCTCGGTGAGTGGCAGATTGCCCAAGTCCCCAAAAGCAATGGCCATAAAAGCACAATTCCGCTTGGTCTCAATAGATGGGCAGTCACTAAAATCTGACGCTGGACGAGCTGCTTGCTCATTGCTCTCCGTCGACTTGTTGTTAGGGCGTGGATGCCAACAAGGGGGGAAATCTTTGGTAGCTCATATGTAGGAACAGGAACTAACCCTTTGAGGGCGATATCCACTGGACGACTAGCCTTGCACAGCATAGCGTTGCGAGGCCTGGGAAACGGCGATGCAGCTAGGATTTGCTAATCTTATGAGACGATATTTGAATGAGGGCAAGATTGACGGTCTGAACGATGAAATCTTTGTCCGGGCGGAACCTATTCCCGTCAAATGTTACCTCGCGGAATTAGCCATGCTATTGGGAACAATTAACTGTCGCATCACAAACCACCAAAGAGTGTTTGCTGTGCATCATGAATGCATCATGGGCTACAAATAGAACGTTAATTGACAGCCACGGCCTAGAACACGGTAGCCAGTCTTCGGTATCCATCTCCTCGTTCTCTAGTTGGCCGTTGTATCTCAGCCTTGAATTTCTTGGCTTACCACAGAGCATAGCCACGGAAAGATTATACGAAGCTAATTTCAGGCTAACTTATCAGTGCACAGTTGCACACCTTTGATGTCTTTGGCAGCCAGAGAACGCCCTGCAAATAGGTAGTTGTCGACAGCAAAGCTTTAGTTAACTTATACTCAAAAATCAATACTGTAACGACACTATCGAACCTTACTGAAAGCGCCGTAAGCTGAGTTATAAAGCATCTTCTCTCACACCGACAGCCCTATGCTCTGTCATGTGTTGTTTCCACGGAGTCTCCGCATGACAAAACGAGAGCGCATGGATAGCGGAGTTGAGACGAAGACCCTTATCGACCTATCGACCCAGCTTTGCCTTGTGGAGTGAGAGGTTGGTTCGATGGAGATGACCTAGAGAATTATAGCCGAAACGGCAAGCATTCGGTGGCCCCCTGTCGAAGGATTTGGGTGCTTACCAATGTTGTCCCAACACCAGCGCTTGAGAGAAACTCCACGGAACAGCGAGATTTCAAAGCTTCAGTATGAGTCCGACCTGCGAAATGCCGTTCAACAACTACCCGTGCTTCGTAACAGGAATCCATCGTGAAGTGACAGAGATGAAGCATGACTGGCCAATTATCATGCAGAAGCTAACCGTTTAGGATCCTATTTCTCAAGGAGCATGCTGTCTCATGCCATTTGCTTGGAAGTACAATATTCGTCATGGAACTGGATTTAGTAGTATAAAGAAACAAGTGTTCTCCTTCTATCAGCATAATCATCACCATCAATCGAGCAAGCAAAAGATCAAAGTTTCCAACCGCACAACAACCAACATAGTTGCCAGTCAACGAAACACTTCTCGTCAATATGTTTTCTGAAGCCAAACCACTCCCTCCCGTCAGGAGATTTATCACTACCCATGACTCCAACGGAAACGCCATCTGGGATGAAAGTATCCCCATTCAAGTTGAGGGAAACC